TGCAAAATGATTAAACAAGGAAAGGAGTTTACAGCTAGTTGTGTGCTGATCTCTGGGTTTGTATCGATATGCCAATCAGGTTCGAGCTGTCTAACAAAGGAAGTTCTTCCGATCTCTGTACTACAAAAGAGGACCTGCAATTTTTTCATGTCACAATACTGTAATTCTTGCACTTAGTCAAAACATCGATTACCAATTTGATTTAACTAGTGTTTGCATGGTTGAGGACAGAGAATATTCGGTTATTCATGCATTGATGAGATTGTTGAAAAGCATTTTGAGACTAGTAACGAGTACAAGGTTGTCAGACACAGCAAGATTGAATACCTTATCTTTGACCAAACCACCAGATGTGAAAATGCCTGCACTCTCTAAAGCCTGTAGAACTTTGGCCTGCATATTAGTGCTCAAAATGTGAGTTTCAGAACTACTCAACCGCAAAAAAAAAAAAAAGAGATTACAAGAATGCATAAACGTCTAAGGCATTTAGTTGCACCGATTAAATCACGTCTTCATCTAATATTGTAACTATATGTGCTTAAAAATCTTTCTTATCAAACATTATCCATTGTTCAACTCTAATCTAGAAAAAATATCCATGTTATCACCCACTGCTCGAGTTTCTAAGCTAATCGTATATTCGTATATAATGATAACTAAAATGATTCGCTGTGCCATGCTAAAGCCAAGTAGCAACACGAAGGCCAACAAAAGAACATGAATGAGATGGAACGTTGAATGGAAAAGAAGTTGTTGCTCACTTCGCTTTCATCGTCAAGAACTCTTTCCATGAGATATAAATCACAATACTTTGTAATCTCTAAGAGAACTTCCAGAACTGATGACCTCACTGTTACTTGTTTCTGCATATATTTTCCTCGAGAGTCAGTTACAGACCGCTTCATGCGATACATAAATGAATACCAGAAGGAAAGATTACTACTTGGAGTTCTTCTGGACTTGATTCTTCAAGAATGACTCCAAGAAGACGACACGTTACCTACAAATGCATATTAGACAAGGATGAAGCTCAACAAAATAAAGACCCTGGCCCAGTGCTTTGATATAGGGCTTGAACTCGAATTCAAATAAAACTGTCAATGATTTAAAATGATCAAAGCTATCTATAGCTCTTAAACAGAAAATCCGAAGATGTGTGTATCAAACATGGAGACAAAAATCATGTGCAGCAACAAGTGATTAAAACATAACAGCATTATCAATGCAGACATGCAATTTACCTTCCTTCCTTCACTAAGCTTCTGCCTAACTATCTGCCCCAGGGTAGGCTGCAATACGGAAGTTAAACGTATAACAGAAGAGTGTCACTACTGTGAAAAAAGTCAATGCTGTAACCATTTTAATATAAGAAGAGAAAGAGAAATGTAACCTTCACAGGTTGAAAAAACTGATCAACGACATCCTGCGCCGCGGTATCCTCGTGAGAAAAAGAAACTTCGGGAGGGATCGAAGTTAGACTTGACTGAGCAGCAGCACTTGAGGATTCAGCCGATTGAATCCTGCGTTTCGGCTGCCTTCTTTGACGCTCTCTAGGTGTTCTTATCGCCCTCCATGTGAAAATCACCGCAATTGCAAGCCCCGCAATAGCACCAATAGATCTTGAATCCTAATTACAATACACCATTAGTGAAAAACGAATAAACCCAATTCTCAAAATTTGGAGCTTAATCAGTTCGTGAAATTTTCAATTACTTCCAAAGAGATCGCATTTATCACATTCGGAACAAAAGTTACTATCTTTCACAAGCTTAAATCTGAATCTTCCGATAGTTCCTCAAATCACAAATCACAGATCCGATACAGGAAACCATGAAAAGGGCATCAATGGAAATGGGAGATAAAGAGAGAGATCGAGAGAGAACCAGCTTGCGAATAGTAGATGTAGAGAAGAGGCTAGACATCTTGAAAGCAACGTAAGCGCTTAGCCGTTTGATCAACCGAACGATCTCCTCCGTAGGCGACGGCGAAGAAGACGATTCCGCCATAATCTCTTCCCTTTTTCCTTTTAACCCAAATTCGAAAAACGTCGTCTTTTACACGGAAAATCGAACTATCTATCAGATTCTTAGCTTCAGCTTTCGGATATTCAGAAAAGAATGGCACTGTTCTCGAGCTTTGTC